ACTACTACTACTACTACTACTACTACTACTACTACTACTACTACTACCTAGGTCGTTCTTCCAAAGCAGATGTGTCAGCCTCCCTCAGACCCACTTCCCCCTGCAGCTGGGCCCAGCAGCTCGCCAGCACATCCGACGTCGCCCGCGACAAGGCTCATACCCAACGCCGCACGCAACTGGAGCGCCAGCAGCTGTGCGGGCCGAACCTGGCCAGGAAGACCCAGCTGGCTGCTGTGAAGTGCGAAGTGCTGGAGGCTGGTGCAACTAGCAGTGCTTGGTGCCCCTGCCCCTACCCTAACATGCTGGGACCAGAGGTTTGGACGGAAGTGCAAATGGTCACAGGAGAGTACTAGTTACAGTTACTACAGTAGTGGTGCTGACTCCGAAAAGGCTTCTTGATCTGCAAGATCAGTTGTTTTGCGGCAGATTCAGGCCTAAAGTATAACCCAAATGGGAGCATGCATGCATGTCTTCATAAAAAGGGGGTATAAACCATGATCTGATTATCAGTCAATGCAGCATCGTCCATTCTACCCTCTCCGAGAAAGGCACGGAACTCTCATGAAGCAGGTTAGCGCACATGCAAAACCTGATAGAACCTCAAAACATCTCAAAGACCCTAGCATAGCATCATCAATTTGAAGCAGTGTCACTATAGTGCAGGTTCTGAACTCTACAGCTGCAGCCGGTTGTGTTCGTCTTTTACAGAACCAACGGTCCGGAAGGGTCCGCTCTCTCCCAGGTCCGACCCGCCCTGCGCCGTGCCCTGCGACACGGGCTTCCTACCGGAGGGCAGTCGCTCGGACCGCGGTCACGCGTCCCGCCCGCTGGCGCGCGGCGCAGACGGCGTGTTCCGGGACCCAGATCGACGAAGGAGTCTGCTTCTTTGGGGCACATTGCAGATGGTGTGCAGATTGAAGGGGGTGAGTAAGTGTTCGAGACCAGCGTCAGGCTCTTGTTCACTGTCAAGAACGCCTGAGAATGGCGGCAACCCTGTCATTGGCTACTGCCGATCTTTGCTGATAGGGAAGACCCTGCACATGAGAACCTCTCCATCTCTCCATCTCCTTTCTTAAGTCGTGTGTATGACCTAAAAAAGACAAACAACTTTGGGTAACCTACCAAACGATGGGTGAAGCGACGAAGCAACGAAGCAGAGCTTGCAGCACTCGCAGCACTTGCACACTCGGACTGGGCCCTGCTGTCATCTGTCATTGGAGTCTTTCGATCCTGTCATCGGAGTATTTCGATGGACGAAAAGCGAAGCCTTGGGGTGTTTTTCTCGCCTGTGAGTCTGTGAGGTATTGGGATTCGTACCTTAGTAGCCTTAGTTCGCATGGTCTTCGGAAAAAGATGAGCTGAAAAGCACTGGAGACCCCTCCAACAAGCTTGAGTTAGGTGGGTTGAGTATTAAAAACTTACTGTACCCAATCTCACTGGATTATACTGGATTATTGTTTTTATCTACACTCCCTGAAATAATCATGGAAGTCGAGTTCACCACCGGTTTGCTCTTCGGATTGGTCTTTCATGGTCTCTCCATGGGCGATGGATCATGATTACCATCAATCACCAGCAAGTTTCAGCCCCTTCCGAAAACCCCGAAATCTTACTTGAAGGCGTGTTACTAGTAGCTTCTTGTTACTAGTAGTAATGCAGCCACGGGGCTCAAAGCTCGAAGGCTGAGGCGCCGGGCCGCCTGTGGCCCTTCGCCGACCCGCGAGGGTTGGAGGGGGTGTCGATTAGACCTTCCCTCAGGAAGGTCAGCCCTTTCAGGTGACAAGAAGTTCACTTGCATCGTCTGTGCTCTTTTGCCATGGACGAGCTGGAGCTCCTTTTGAGCCACCTGGACCAGGACCTTTTGAGGAAAGATGTCCGGATGATGTTTTCCGGTTTGACTCCTGGCTTCATGCCCACGGTTGGAGCTAGAACAGTCATGGCAGGTAACCTCTTGTCATTTTGCAACGATTGGCTGGAGATCGAAGCACTCTGGTATGTGCCCGGGATTGGCTTCCAACCCCATGAAGACAAGCAGGACTTTCGCATCTACATGGATGGTGTATGTGCCAGGCACATCCATCTCGCCAGAGGGATCCAGCTTGTGTGCACTGGAGAGCGAGTTCTTTCCACCGATTCCGCAGCCATTTCATTGAGGAATGCCAGAGTATGCTTCCGTCCTGAGGTTGCTCTTTCCATGCCGTGGGACGCAGTTCACATGTTTAGTGGAGCATTTGGAGGATGGCATCAAGCCTTGAACTGGCTCGACAAACAGGGGCAATCAATTTGTGTAGGACAAGAGATCTTCCTGGACCAAGATCCGAGGGTCATGGAGGTCTGGTCCCTCAAATTTGGGACTCCTTTCCAACACCTGCAGGGCACGAAGAACATCGCATGGACCCCTGCCAAGGCAGCTGGGTATTGTGGCAGTGTTTCCGACTTTACAATCGTGGACCTTTGTCGCACCCAGGTGAATTTACTTGGAACAATTTCTCCGCCTTGTCAAAGTTGGAGCAAAGGAGGAAAAAGAGGAGGCCTGCAAGACCAGAACGGCTTTGCGTTCTTGGAAGCGCTGTCGCTTGCCTTTTCCTTGCAGATGGTGGCCCTTGCGGCCGAGTGTGCTGATGACATCGTCAGCCACCACCATTTTAAGATTGTCAAAGCCCTTGCACATGCCCTGGGCTATAGACTCGTTTGGGACCAGGTGACTCCATTCCATCCCATCGCGGCACATGCAAGGTCACGATGGCTAGGAGTGTGGATTCGTGCAGATGCGGCCACACAACTGTTGCCGTTCCAACTGAAATTGCCGAACATACCGCAATCACACTGGACCGACCAAGCATGTCATTTTGTCTTGCCAGATCGATGGACTTCGCAGCTGAAGCTATCCCCATCTGAGTGTGCTGTCTATGACTCTGTTCGATTTCTTCCTCCTGCCAAGCGGCCCAGGTACGAGAACAAGAACTTGCAGAACAAGGAGGTCATTCGATCCAGAGTGCCTGATCCGTCAGAGATCTTGCCGACACTTTGCGCCTCATATTCTCGCCAGCATTTACTTGCTGAAGGCCATCTTGAGCAGAAAGGCATATTCGCATGTTTGAACGAGACCTCAGAGGGTTTTTGTTTCTTTGACCCGGCAATGTACTGCTCGTTGTTTGGAGCCACTGAATCGGTCATCCTCTCAGAAAAGATTGGAGAATCCTTCCTTTTTGTCGGCAATGCGATCACCGTGCCGCACAGCATCCTAGCTCTCTCAATCGTTTTGCATGCTACTAGTGCTTGCCAAGTCGATCCGATCGGTCTCGTTCGAAAGGCGTGGTCTGACCGCCTTACTGCGCGCAATGCTGTCCTCTTCGCCCATGATGGATTCGTTCACATGGTTCCTGTCAGCTCCTTTTGGGAATGGGTCAAGATCTCGGACGCTGCCCTATCGGAGAGCTCCAAGTGTACCTGGAATTTGACAGGAACCTGTGCAGGGCGCCAGTTCTCTTTCCAGGTGAGCCCACAGCAAACCATTCGTGATGCCTTTCGAGCAAGCCTTGACGGCCCAAGTGCACTCCTCCACCAAATCAATGGGAGGAACGAGGACATCAAAATCCTGCATTTGTCCACTTTAGAGCAGATCGCTAATCAAGAGCGGTCATTTCGACTTGTGCTAGGTCATGCCACTGTTGGCGAATGCAAAATCAATCCTGTGAACTGCACAGCCGCTCAAACTAAGGTCATCGAAGATCCATCCGATGGACGCCTACAAGATGCTCACATCCCCTTCACGCTGCACGATTTTGACACACAGGCTACATCAGATGTTTTCTGGGCCATTCAGAGTGTCGTCGAAACACTGCAAGACGACGAGAATGGGCGTGAGGCTTCAGCTTCAGTCATCGTATTGCCTGAGAACATTGGGTTGACCACTCTTGTTCCAAGTGTTGAACGTGTTGCAACCTTGCAGCAAGTAGCCAACCTCCCGATCTTCAGACATCGCAACAAACGATTTATTTCCATTCCTGGAGAGATGAATGCATATTTGTTGATCTCAGACAAGTGTGACACGCTGGACTCAAGTTCCGTCGAAGTTATTCTTCGATTTGGCGAGCAGTTTGTCGGAGGAGCCAGAATTCCTTCCCAGGTGAAGCAGATTTATAGTCAGCTCTTCTGCACTGGTTCGCATCTTCAGCTCCGCGCTGTCAATGGACACCCTGCTCCACGAGATCAGCTCCGTTTCCAGAATGGAGATAGCCTTGACATGTGCCACAAAAACGTCACCAGAGCGGGGGGCCACCACCTCAACCTCACCGCGCCGCCGGCACTGCCAGCTTTTGCCGACTTCACTGCTAGAGTTGAATTTCTCTGTGATACGCATGGATGGGTAGCGACGGACGAGATGTTCCATTACACCCAAGCTTTACAATGGCAGCAAGACTGGCTTCGTTTTGGCACTCCGCAGTTGTGGGATGTGACAAAAGGTGACTTTGAAGACCCTGTGTTTGGTGAGTTGCAAATCCTGAACAACACCACCACTGCTATTCCTGTGTTGATTGGCAGTCACTGGGCAGGAGTTGAAATTTATCGCAATGGATCTGATACACAGGTGACTTTCATCCAGGTTCCAGCCGAGGTCCAGACGGCATTGACTTTCCTGGTAGCGAGATTGCTCGACATAGCGCCACATCGTTTTCATGTCCGCACAGAGGCAAACCACCCATCACCGCACATTTGCGGGTGGAATCTTTTGTTCCGCTGGTACAGAAGGCATGGAATACATCAGGGCATTGCCGATATTTCCACCCACTTCACACTCTCTGCTGAGTACAACGACTTGATTCAGATCGCCATGCAATGCTCGTGTGAAGATTGGGCTTTGGCACAGATTTCTGTTGAGATTGGACAACTCGCTTTCACACTCAGAAAGAATTTCTTGTGCTATCTTGCCAGGCGAGAATCTCAAGGACGACCTTGTCAGCAGATCGCACTTCACACAGCCTGTCCTCCGATTTCACCTCAGCCACATGTACCTGCTGCACCACAACAGGTTCCATTTGTGCCGCTTCATGTGCGAGTTGACCGCACACAAGCCATCCTCGACCGCATTCGCCATCGATTGGTTGAGATTCTCCAGCACCCTGGCTGGATGTCATCTGACGAGCTCGACATAGCGCTTGAAGGGCCCCGGGCCATGAATCCGCAGACATTATTCTGCCCTCCGTCAACCTGGAACATTGGTGCTTCCCACTTGCATTTCTTCAATGACTACATCCCCGATTATCGTGCATACAATCAAGTCATTTGGATCATTGAGGTAAACAGACATTGGGTGCAAGCTGAAGCGTACCTACATGAGGATTCGTCGAACTTCGCCTTCACATTTCCTGCTGACAGTCATATTCTGTTGCAACCGCTTGTGGATCATTTGTTGAACATCACTGGTGCCAGGAACACCCAAATCTCGATCCACTTTTATGATCAGATTTGTCCTCAACATTTGTGCGGGTATCAGCTTGTTGCCAACATCTATCACCGTCTTGCAGCCAACACGGTACCGCTTCAACCTCCACAGCGCAGACAGCTGAGTTTTCATCCGCTTGCCGCTGAGTTTGACCGAGCTCATCATGAGGCCCGTGAAGCGTGGACAACAGCAGCTGCTGATCCACATCTGATTGAGTTTGCAGCAAATATCAGGCAATGGTTCCTTATCAGGATTGCTGAGAATCGCTTCCCGATTGAGACGACCTCCGCAGGAGCCAAAGAACATGATGATGTTACTATGCAATCAGAAGAAGCCGCCAAGGCCAAGC